AGGGCCACAGCCATCTGAGGGGAAAACTCTATGTTTTCCCCTCAAATGGCTGTGGCCCCGCCCCCAGCGTGCCCGGCGTCATCACGTCACATCCGGCTGACGTGCATGCAGCTATAAATCATTTGGAGATAGAATGTTGTTTTCCTATGGCTGTGATGCAGCCTGTGCTGGCCACAGAGAAAGATAGAAAACTGGGCTCAAGTTCTTAAATACATACATGAACACATGAAGGTGCCTTATACTGAGTCAGACCGTTGCTTTATCGAGGTTAGTATTGCTTGCTGTGGCTAGCTGCAGTTCTCTAGTTCTCAGACAGAAGCCTTTCACATCATCTGCTACCTGATCCTTTTAACTGGAAATGCTGAGGATTGAACCTGGAACTTTCTGCATGTAAAACAGGTGCTCTACCACTAAGCCATGATATCCCCTTAAAAACAAACAAACAATGGGTTTAGATTTCGGTGGAAGGAAGAGTTCTGGCATGCTGGCATTCAGTGGAATTTTTATAAGGACTTTGAGACATCACTGTGACAATCTCTGAGAGGCAGCATCATCACATGTGACAGGAGACACTGTGCAGACAGTTCCTTGAAGGAAAGGTGTGGCTGGGGTCCAAGGGGAAGATGATCATCTGCTGGGCATATGCAGAAGCCAAGAACAATCTTGGGGCTTTTGGAAGTTGGTTGGGATGTGGAAGTCCAATGACAATCTCTTTTTTTTGGAGTTGCGATTGAATGTTGGGATCTGGGGTGTGTGCACAATGAGACAGAAATGATGAATGTGTTTTATTAACAGGGCATCGGAGGGCTGGTTTGATGGTCCATAAAGCACAAGTCAAAAATCTCGATTGAAGGGCCTGTCCACCTAACGGTTCCTCTATGATCTGTGCTAATGAGTCTCCACTTTGTACTCCAACAAAGACCAGAGGGAATTGTCAGCACCTGTGGATATGGTGACACCCACCTTTTTCCCACCTGAGGTGTTACAGGCTCCCTCCCAGAAACCAGCTTTGCTCAGAGTCAGGGGAAGAATCTTGCCCCCACATTCAACATTTGCTTGGACTATGCCTGGCAGCTTGAGTTTAAACTGCACCTGGCAGTTGGCTGGCAGGACACCGGCAAGAGGTGCCACTAACTCATAGTCGTCCTCCCAGTTCGCAAATCTCTGTGGGAAAACTGGCCACGTCACACTCTTATTTGGGCAGGAGAGGAGGTAGCTGAGAGCACACTGGTGAGAATCTGAATCAGATGTCTTATTGGCCCAGATCAGAAGAGCAAAGTGTCCTGCATGGGGCAGGTGAACCTTTAACTCAGCCTGGTTTCCTTGACAGGCTTTCCAGACGTGACGCCTCATCATGTCCTCGGGTATCCTGCTGCTATCAGACTGAAGCGTAGCAAAGAAATGCAGATCTTTAGTCCGAGTGAAAGTGATGACACAGCATCCGTCATCTGTGTGGATAATGGGGCCTGAAGGCAAGGCCTTCAGGATCCCCGCCTGCTCCGACAGCCAACTGGGTCCCACAGGCTGGATGAGGCCTTTGGGCAGACAGATGCTCTTGTCGACAGAGTTGCACATCAGTGAGTATTCTAACACGTGACTGTAGCTCTCCTTCATGTCTTTGAAGAGTTTTGAGTAGATCTGCAAAGAGTGAGCCCCTGTCTGCTGGGGGTACGCTTCAAGCTTCATCCCATTCCTCTGGAGTGTCATTAAACAATTCTCCTCTGCCTCATTCAATTTAAACAGGAACAATGTCGGAGAACGACTCTCAATGAAAATGGTTGCTTTGCCATTTTCTGTGAAACAACAAAAAATACTTGTAAAAAAATATTCCACAAACTGACTTTCTTGGTGGCATGAGGGGTATTATCTCGTATGGAGATTCTCAAAGTGGACCTGGACACTTCTGATGCTCTACGCTTTTGTGTGCGTACGTAATTTCAGACAAAGATGTCAAGTGCGTAGTCTCTGAACACCCTCACATATTGAAAATCCTATTGAATTAACCTGAAGAAAGAAGTGTGTTCTTCAGGCTGCCCAACTTAACAGTCCTCTCTGTTTTTCTCCAGCAGACATCAGGGGGCAGGGGCACAGGGTGGGAGTTCATCCATCCTCAGCAGGCAGCTGGTAACTCTAGCTGGCAAGCACCCTAATCATCTTCTTCTCCCTCTGGTCCTACTCCTTCCTATAGCAGGAACTAAGGTCCACCATCCTTTTAACTCAAGCAAGGGCCTGACTTTCTGCTTTCCCATGAGCCTTTGGGGTGATCTTCCCCGAAGATTCTAGAAGACCTCTGCCTTAAACGACCACCTCGGGACCTGGCCCAATCAGGGCTAGAGACAGCTGGTGTCCGCCCTGATGCCAGTAGACCTATCTCCCCTTCCTTCCCCTGGCTACTGTTAAGGGCCATTTTGTTTTAGCATCACCTGGCTCCAGGCCCCACCTGCAATCATCCAGCTGGGCCCTGGGCAGGGGTTTAAGGGCTGAGCTGCCACCATCTGTTCTTTCTCTTCCCACACAGAGTGCCAGGCAAGACCTTAAGAAACCACCTCTGGTCTTGGCATCAGCTCTTCCCCTCTCCTGTAGCACCTATCGGTTGGGGGGAAGGCTGACACCAGCAACCCCCTACAGTGCCCCTTGAGCAATGGGGACATGGTCCCTTTTTCAGTGCAGTTGCATTAATAAAGCGGGGATGACAAAATGCTTATTGCTGTCTTTACCTGTCTGAATGACTGTTGTTGCTGGAGTTGCTGCAACCAGTCCCTGTGCATAAAATTCAGATCTGAAGCGTATATTGCGTTCAAACTGCTGCAGACACAGGCGGGGTTTCAGTAACTGCCATTCATGGTCTTCTGGGAAGTGATCGGTAATAAAGAGAGCAGGATGGGTCAGGAAGTAAAAGTCATCCTGTCTGAAACAAGAATGAAGCAATCTCAACCAGAGCGGAAAATCTATCCCATCTTTATTCAGTCTTCCTCCATGTAGCTTAGGGTGGGGTTCACATGTATCTAGGGTTGCCAGCAATGCTCCCACTTAAGCTGTGGAGTCTTGTGGGCAAAAATTTTACTTTGTGAGTGACTGGCATTAAAGTTGTGAGCAAGCGATCTGGCTGCTACATAAATTAGGTTGCTCTGGAGCCCTCCTTCCTGGGCTGAGACAAAAATGTGTGAGCCGGAGGCTCAAAAACTGTGAGCTAGCTCACACTAACTCAGCTTAGAGGGAACACTGGTTGCCAGCCTCCAGGTGGTGGCTGGTGATCTCTCACTATTACAAAGGATCTCCAGGCGACAGAGATCAGTCCCCCTGGAGCAAATGGCTGCTTTGGAAGGTGGACTCTGTGGCATTAGACCCCACTGAAGTCCCTCCCCAAACCCTGCCCTCTTCAGGCTCCTCCCCCCAAATCTCCAGGTATTTCCCAACTGGGAGCTGGCAACCCTACATGTCTCCCCTCCTCCCTTGTGCCCCCCACAGCAACGCTGTGAGATAGTTTTATGCTAAGGGACAGTGACTGGCCCAAGGCCACCCAATGGGGTTCATGGTTCAAATGGAGATCTGAACATGGGTCTCCCAGTCCACTGTGCTCCACTGAAATATGGCAGAGTGTCACAACAAGTAGGAGGAAACAGGCTCTAGAGATAAGCAGACAAAACCTGTTGTCTAAAGGCATTTCCTTGTACCATTTCTTTGCAATGCTTCGCTTGGAGGCTGCTGGCAAATCTGTAACCAGCAAGTGATGCGTGTCCCGTTCCCAGCTATTAATCCTGGGAGTACAGAACTCAGAAACAGAAGAATGGATCGATAAAGGGTGGCAAATAGTGAAATCATTTGAAGTGAGTGAAACTATAAATCTGAGAGGCAGCAGAGATGTTAAAAAGATGCAATGAGATGGCTATATTTTATTGAATTTCGGAGATTGGTTACGTTTCTATCCTACCTTTCCTCCAAGCAGCTCACATGACATCCATGTGAACTGGGTTAAGGCTGAGGGCCAGACTACATATTACGATGTTGAATGCACTGCGTCTGGGATGCCCCAGCCTGACTTTGACTCAGACAGTCCTCCATGAGCGGCAAGGGAATTCGTTTCCGAGGTGTCTGGGGCCAAGATTCAGACTGGAACTGTAGAGCCGGGACTTCAACGTTCTGTCTTATGCGGTGGGCTGTTTCAGGTCAGGCTGAAGCCCCTTCTCTCCCCCCCACCCCGGCCCTGCAGTCCCAATATGAACTGGGGCCCCATGTGCTTCAGCAACAAGTTCCCTTGCAGCAGCTGCTGTGTGACCATCAGATCGTGACAACACAGACACACCACATTAAAAATCAGAGCATGTAGTTTGGCCCAGAGAGAATTTCACTGGCTTAAGATCACCCAGGGAGCTATCTGGCCAAGTGGGGATTTGAATCCAGGTCTCCCCAGTCCTAGTTCAGCACTTGGCTAACCGTTAAAAGTAAAGGTAAAGGGTTTCCATTGCTTGAAAGCCAGTCAAATCCGACTCTAGGGGACGGTGCTCATCTCCGTTTCAAAGACAGTACACACTGGTAAAAGCGTGGCATTGAGACTGCTGAGGCACAACAACTGTTCTGTTGTGTGATTTTCTTGTCAAGATGGAAATGTTACTCTGGATTCTTTTTGTACTTGTTTACATTTTAAGTCAAGTTATATTTACAGCCTATTATTTTAAAGGCACAACACACGGGAAAGTTCTGTAGAAGCCCCACGGAAAAAAAGAACTTGGTAGTACTCTGCTATTCCACCACTCCCAGCCATTTCAATAGGGAATCCACAATAACTTCTAGAAGATTGAGTCCTGCTTGCTTTCAAAATAGAAGTGTCTATGTAGGATAAATTTATAGCTCCCTTGTCTTTACTGAAATTGGTCAGTGACATTCCACCATATTTTACCTTCTAAGCCAATGTTGGATCAGGCCAGTGGCCCATCCAGTCCAACACTCTGCCACACAGTGGCCAAAAATACCAGGTGCCATCAGGAGGTCCAGCAGTGGGGCCAGGACACTAGAAGCCCTCCCACTGTTGACCTCCCCCCAGCAGCAAGAATACAGAGCATCCCTTGCCCCAGCCACAGAGTTCCTATCTATATACCTTGTGGCTAATAGCCACCGATGGACCTCTGCTGAATAAATGCCACAAACAGCACAGTCTCTGAAAAATGACTGCTGTGGCTCAGTGCAGGTGGCATGTGTGAGACCCAGGCCACCTTCTCTTGCAATGTCCCAGCCTCCAGGATCGCCAAAGTTGGTGCAATGTTGCCCATCTAAGCTGACGATCCAGTCCTCTGTGTTGGTTGTGACATCTATGCCACTTATTAGGAAACAGTGCAAAGCAGAGGGCTTGTGGTTGAATTCTGGTGACATTTATTCTTACTGGTAGCGTTTAGTTGTGTTTTTAAATGACTGTTTTGTTGGAAGCCACTTTGAGCACTATGGAAAAACAGTCTACATATAAATAAGGAAGATAAATGGATGACGGTCAGACTCTACCTAGTCCTCGCTGTCTCCCAAGCCCCCACTAACAGCTGGATTTCTGCTGGTTCTGCTTACAAAGATCAGTTGTGCTGTTTATGGGGTCACCAACTCTGGTCCCAATAAAGAAAGAAACCAGCAAACCCTGGAGGTAACTGCATCCTCATGTGACAGGTCTTTCTACTGCACCACAATGTACTAGGCCTTACCTGAAAGTGAACTTGGTACAAGAGTCATCTACAGTCCCACTTCCCCACGTGCTGTCCAAAAGGTGCCACCTTCCATGGAGGAAAACAGCATTCCAGGCATGATCAGTGTCCCCCCGGAAGACGTGTCCTGGTTTATATCCAAGCCCTTTGGAGTAGCCAGACAATTCCTTGCACTGAATCCCTGCAATACTGAGGGGGGAAATAGTGTTCAGAAACACGAAAGCATGTTCAGAAACATGAGTTCATGAGTGCCTGAAACTGCCTTATTCAATACCTGTCACCTCCTATGCAATCTTTTTCCCTGGAGGTGACAGGGATTGAACCTAGAACCTTCCACATGCCAAATAGCTTCTCTGTCACAAAGCCATGGCCTCTCCCCTGACTACACTACTGTAGTCAAGAGGACCGTCTCCTTTATTTGTTTGTGATGAGGGACAGATGTATGTCAAGATTACACCATGTCAGAACAAAAATTGGTACAGGGAAAAGCAGGCAGCTTGGGTGAGCGGAAACAAAGGCCCTTTTCAAACTGCCTTTGTATTCTGTTTTAGTAAGTGGTTACTAATGGATTTTTTCTGTCATTTCACACAGACCTGTTTTAGTAACCATCTGCTGGCAGAATTTATTTATCTGTTCATATAAACCCGCTTGCATTGGGTTAGCAGAGCATGGTCGAGCCACTTTTGAGGGAAACTGCTTTCTTACATTTTCTACCCCTTTGTTGCGCTTCTGAATTTCTGTGGTGTGCTGTTTAAAATGTCCATAGCGTTTCCTAAAATGCCACCTTCCCCCACTGCTCTTTTTTATCACGTGATCTTCCTCAGACTTTTTAAAAACGTTCTAAGTTGAGTGCTATAGCACTAAACCAGTATAGCACTGAAGTGCTGTACTGGTTTAGCACTATAGCACTCATCTTAGAATGTTAAAATCTGAGGAAGATCGTGCGGCAAAAAAGGGCGAGGGAAGTGGCACTGTTTGAAATGACAATAGTGCTTCAGAGACAGCTCATTAACGGAACGAAATTTGCTGTATGAAACCCTCGTCCCTGTATTTCTTTACTCAAAATTGGGCCAACAACAAATAACATCCAGTTTAGAATGGTAATGTGAAAGGGGCCAAAATTCCAGTTCTTAAGGAGCAAAAGAATGGACTGAAACAAGCACAAGCAATTCATGGCGAAAGAAGAATAACTGAGGGGGCCAGTGGGAAAAGCAGCCTTGCTGATGGTTGGAGGAAGGCATCAGTGCTGGGCATTCTTCTCTGCTTATCTCCACGCCTCCAAGAGTCAAAAGAAATGTTGCAAAAGATGAAAATATTTCCAGATCTGCTTAATGTGCATAATTCATGCAACAATTAATAAGGACCATAGAAATGGGGGATGTGTGTTCCACAGGATTTAGGGCACTGAATGGACCTCAGTACATGTTACATTTTCTCCAACAATGTCCCCAAGTAGCATGGAGAGGCATGTTCTGTAGTTCCACATTTCTCAGGCACCTGTGGACCTCATTCAGATTGGGACTGCATGGCCCAGAGAGAGAGAGAGGACTTAGACTTTTCAGCCCTGTGCAGGTTTCCCAACTTAAAAGGGCCTCTGGGGTGGTGACATTTTGCCCCATGGTAGAGACATAACATGCAGCTCATCAGTATACATGCAGTGCCCATTGAGGTAAATAGAACCCCCCAGGCCATTTCTGGTTGACAAACTCTCCGTGACCCAGGTCTGAATTGGGCTCACATCCATCAGTGAAATACAGAGCTTCCAAACACACCTCCATCCAATCAAGGGACATTACCAGGGAAAACGTAATGGGTAGTTAGGCCTTTAGGCACAGGCTTCTGATTTCTTTGGTTAAGCAGAAAGCATTCCCAGCACTCCATACTGGCCACCAATTCTATCTGAATGTGTCCCAGAAATATGAGTGACTCCAAGTTGGCACAATGATGGTAGACTGACTAGATATTTCTAGGTTTATTCAGTGAGGAGCATTACAAGTTACCTGCACATTTGTTGAAAGAGCCCCACATATCCAGCACATACCCTCTTTCCTGACCGAAGGACATCTATTGGCTTACAAGATCTGCTAGTTTTGTCATGATAGCCTTTCACGTCATATTCTGGAGGAATAAAAATGATTGCAAAATATCAACCTGGAGAAAATAATAAGAGGCTGCAACATTCCCATATGGGTTTAGTGAATCTGAGTGGTTAATCAATTCACTAGGCACATATGCTGAGGTGAAAGGGTCTTTTTAAAAATCAAAACCACCCTTGAGGGGGTTCCATGTTTAATGAAAGGTATCTGGTCTTTGATCAAGGCCAGGCTTTGGAAGGTAATATGCAACATAATAAATTATTGCCATTATTTAGTGGAGACAATAGTTCTTTTCATTGAACAGCCTCAAAGTATCACCTGTGTTAAGGGCCCTTCTGTTAAGCTGAATCTGTTACCTGATCATAAAATGATTATTTTCAGCACTTAGTGCTATTTAGTGCTAAAGTTAGACTAGAAGAGGGGGCCCTAAGCATGATAAGCCTGTGAGCACTTGTGGAGTTTTGAGAAAAGGTTGTGGAGGTCACCTCAAAATGGCTGCCACAGGGGCACGACCAGTCACAAAGGGATGCCATGGTGGAGAGGGTAAGCACCAAGGGTTGAGGGATGGTGATCTCCCAGAAACAATTCTATTTCTGAACTACAGAGATCAGTTCTGTAATGTACTCATTCTGGACCGCGTGCGAGGCTAGGGCTCCACGCAGTCAGACGAAACCTCTGAGCTTCGCTCCAGTGAACAATGGACTAAGTGGATCCTAGCCCGCACCAATCCGAGGGCTACCTTCCCGGCCGAGAGCCCATGGAACTCTCGGCCACTGTAAATAGCCTATTACGGGGTGGGGTAGGGGTGTTTTGGGTGGTGGTTTTCACAGGATATAAGCCGGCTTGCGAGCCGGCTAAAGTTGTCTTGTTCTGCACAAATAAAGTATGAGAGCTGTAATCACTCATCAGTCTCAGTACTTTTCAAGTTCCCTTGGAGAAAATGGCTGTTTGGAGGGTAGACTATGGCATTATACTCCTCTGAGATCCCTACTCTCCCCAGTCTCCTTCCCCAAATCCCTAGGAATTTCCCAACCAGGAGTTGGCAGCCCTAGGGAAACTATACTCCCAAGCCAAGCAATCTTCTGTGATGGGACAACTATTTCTGAATGGGAATTCCCTGCAGACCTTTGTGATATCTCCTGAGGTCTTCTAAAAATTTCCTGCTATGATGAAATGGGAAGAATAATTGGATGCTAGGCAATACCTTATTGGTCTAGATTCTGTGCAGAAAATACCAATGGCCAGTCACTTTAATCCTCACAGTGCATGGGGGAGGGATTCATGTGTTGCATGAGCTTGTCTTGCCCTTTAACAATGTATGCTTATATAGTACCAGGATTCATAGATGTAGCTGGGGGGCTTCCTTTGTAAAAGTCCACACTAGTGCATGGGTTACACCAGAAACATGGAGGAGCTCTTCCTTGCCCCAGTGAGCTTCAGGGCTAAAGTGATTTTTGAATCTGAGTCTCCCACAGTTAAGCCCAGTTCACTAGCCACTGATCTACGTTTATTTTCCAGAGTCCTATGTGGAAATGGAGCTCCAATGACAGTGTCTGGAAGGAGAAGAAGCCTATGAACTTCATAGCTAGACATAGCAGCCCATATGTGACTAGGACTCTGGATCTTTGCCAGAAGGGGCCAATCAATTCCCTGGATTTAGTAAATCAGTGAGAAATCTGACTGGTTTAAATTATCAGATGAACTACCTTAGTTCAGGCAAGGAGATATTTTGTGTCCCACTCTGACTCTCTTGCAAATATATATTTCGCAACAGGCTTTCCTTCTGATGTTGTGGACACTTATTTTCATTTGGCCTCTGACTCCCCCCCCCCCCCCCCCCCCCCGTCTTGTAGGGCTCATATGCTTTTGATAGCTGCATGACAGGCAGAAGGAGAACAAATGGAACACACATACACATACCATTCTTCAAGCATGAACATGATACGATAGGAGAAAGCTTTAGCTGTTGAACCTCTTCATGGAGACTATCATATAATAAAAATGGCAGAATCCATGGCATAGATTCAACCTTCTTCCAAGAAGTATTCAAACCATGCTCAGTGACATGGAAGGATAGGAGTGGGATTCATCCCCATAGCTACCTATGTGACAGCAAATCCATATCCAAATGGCTCGAAGTTTCTCCAGGTCATTGTGAGCTTCTTGCAGCAGGACACTCACTAGGTCTTTCACACTGCTCGTGACATTCACCTGGTTTGTAAGGAGCAAATGTGGAGAAAATATGAAGGAAGGCTTTCCACCTCTGTCATCTACCACAATCCCTCCTTATACCTATCTTCTTTTGTTCAGTGTTAAAAACCTGATCCTCAGAAACTGCTCACCTTGGTCCCAATTTACCAGATTTAACTTTTCTTAGGAATAAATTAAACCTGATAGAAGGGGATCTATGAATAGCAGCTTCCCCTGACCCTAGTTTACTTCTTCAACAGGTAATAAGAACATAAGAATATAAGAACATAAGAACATAAGAGACGCCAATGTTGGATCAGGCCAAAGGCCCATCCAGTCCAACGCTCTGTGTCACACAGTGGCCAGAAATACCAGTGCCATCAGGAGGTCCAGCAGTGGGGCCAGGACATTAGAAGCCCTCCCACAGTTGACCCCCCCCCAAGCACCAAGAAGACAGAGCATCACTTGCCCCAGAGCCCCTAGCTATACCTTGTGGCTAATAGCCACTGATGGACCTCTGCTCCATATGCTTATCTAATTCCCTTTTGAAGCCGTCCATGCTTGTAGCACCCACCACTTCCTGTGGCAGTGAATTCCATGTGTTAATCACTCTTTGGGTGAAGAAGTACTTCCTTTTATCCGTTCTAACCCGACCGCTCTGCAGTTTCATGGAGTGCCCACGAGTTCTTGTATTGTGAGAAAGGGAGAAAAGTACCTCTTTCTTTACCTTCTCTTTCCCATGCATAATCTAAGCATAATCAAAGCAGCAAGTGAAATGATGTTATCCGAGAATAATTCAGTGTGTAATAAAGAAAGTTTTGTGCCAGCAGAACCAGGATCTCTTTGTTTATGATAGTTGCATGGTGTGTATTGTGGACAGATTTAGAAAGCATCTGTCAGTAATGCACCCTTGAGAAGAACATCTCAATATCCTAATGACAGCCATACAGCATGATGATAAAGTAGGGCTTACCTTTGATGCGTAGGCATCCAATTTCTTAAACTGTTGCAAGTCTATTGGCATTGATTTCAGACTGGATTTATCCCACGGATAAGCTGGAAACAAACATGGAAAGTAATTCAAACAAAGTCAAATCAGTGGTTGGCTCAATTAGGTTGCTTCCCCTTGGAGGTCTTGCTTCCACTGGCATCGAAACTGGAGCAAGTTTTATTTCGAGCATCGATGTGATATTGTTCATAATTGTTCACTTTCTGGCTTTTCACTGCATTGTGATATTTCTGAAACCTGCTTTGATATGATCGTTTTTTGAAAGATTGCAGTCAGAACACCTTTGCACAACTTGTGGATGGGAAAGTGCACATCATTGAAGGTCTTGCCCACACTGGCACCATTTTACTTGCCTCCATCCCTGTAGACTGTCATTCCCCACCACCACCGTGCTACTGGATGTCTTTTTCAAGCTTTTTAACCAATCAATAATTGCTAGAATATAATGATCTGTATCCATAATTTCTGAACCCCCAACTTCCATTTTTTTTACAGCAAGCCTCTAGTGCTTTCAATTCCAGAGATATAAAGTATTCCTTCTATATCTTTGCAATGAAAAGGGCTAAATACTTAGTTTAAAAAAATAACACTGGGGATTCAGAGACGCTAGTAGCATCTTTCTGGACCACTCAAAAGAGACAACTCAGTGCTGCAGGTCAGTCACAATATCCATTCTGTTAAGGGAAACATAAACTGGAGATTTATTTTGAGGAGGGAAACAGGTTACGGTACAAAGGAAACATACTGTTCATGTCTCATCTTCAGCAAATCTTAACAGATGAGAAGGGGCCTACATGGAAACACAAGTCTCTCAACTAGAAGCAGATTCAGATCACTAGATGTTCAAGGAAGAGTTAAAATAAAAATCGAGACCAACAAAATGTCCAAGTTGTAAGCTTTTGTGAGTTAAAGCTCACTTTGTCAGTGTAACTTACCATACAAGTTTTGTCCACCATATAAGTCTGGTTCATCTGGCAAAGATGTCCTTTCTTCCTCATGAAATCCTACAGAATTGTCATATTTGAAAAAGGACACAAAGACAGGAGAACACAAGGTTGTGGAAGCAAACAAAAATCATAAGGAAATGAACAGAGAAACTATGTAAACTTTTCAGTTGGCTGGTTGGCTACTGTGTGAGACAGAATGCTGGACCAGGTGGACTATTGGTCTGGTCCAGCAGGCCTCTTCTTATGTTATTTTGTTCTTATTTCCTTTTTACAGGATCAGCCAGATCCAGAGAAAAACTGCTCAGTAGTCATGCAGGGAAACAGATCATCATTTATTATGTGTGTAACATATGGTTGGACCATAACACGCAAAGCAGCATATAATGATCATATGTCACCTAATACACATATCTTTTTACAAAGAGCAATAAAATCAACTGCGAAATAGCTGAAGTCACAATAAACACATCATACCGAAATAAGGATAAAAGTCATAATCAGTGATACTTCTGCACTGGGATAATTTTGTACTTTCCTTTTCATCATCTAGCTACACATGGAATTAAAATGATGCTTCACAATGGCACTAAATGCAATGCTATAGTAGCCCAGAAAATCCATTCCCACAGGAAAGTCCCATTCAGCAAATTAAATTAGAACATCCATAGTACATCATGCTTTTCTTGAGCTCCACTCATGGATTTCCTAGGACTTTCTCTTTAAACTACAGCAATAATAATAATAATAATAATAATAATAATAATAATAATAATAATAATAATAATATGGTTCAAAGTGGAAACTGACTGGAGGTTGGCTGTGGGTGGATCTTTCATCTGGCAGCCCAACCCACAGCCACCACTGCGGGTGCTGTATTCCCCTCACCCTTTAGCTTTTTCAAGGGTTTTTTCCTCTCCACTGAGCTGCACTGTAGCATTCTAGCATGGCTTGGTCAGGAAAAGAAGGGAGAAAAAGGGGGTCTCCAGGCAATGGGACAATCCCACCAAAATTGCCCTGGGGCAACAGAGAAAAAGGGGGAGGAGCAGCAGGCAGTGGCAGCAGCGAGCAGGACTAAAATAGGGGCCCATGGATGCTGCTCCCGTCTGCTCCCACCTTACTTCCTAGCGGTCTTGAAACCCTGGGTAGATGCAACCAAAGAAAACCCTACAGAACAAAGAGGTGCAGAACAGGATTTCTAAAAGCAAATACTCATCTAAGCATGTCTGAGGATGTATTTCCATCCCATCAAAATCGATAGTTTCCCCATGCAAATCAGAACTAGAGAATATTCTGAGGAATTCTACATCTGCCTGCTAAACACATGAAGACTAATGTCTGGATTTTCTGCCTCGCTTCCTTATGATCTCCTTACTAAGATTATGCTTCCCAAGCTGGTATTTTATATATCAGCATTCATTGGCTCGCACTACATACCCTGGTCAAACTCACAGGTAATGACGGACTGTTGCTTGTCATAGTGCGTCTGCCCTGTTTCATCAACAAAAAAAGAACACCTCAGAAATCTGAAGGCAAAAGGATTTGAAATCATTCAACCCTCTGACACGAGACAGAATGCACCATCTCCAATGTTTCCATCACCTGGAGTTGGGAGACCTAGACTGAAATGTTGCCACCTCCACCATCACATGGCCTTACACTAGTCTGTCAGCTGATCTGGTTGGTCCTTTAAAAAGGTATTGTGTGAGCTGAATTCTGGAGCTTTGGATTTTTGTTTTGGACCACCATGGCTGACAACTTCTTTCTTATGCCCTTAACACATAGAATTCACTGCCACAGGAGGTGGTGGCAGCTACAAGCATTGACAGCTTCAAGAGGAAATTGGATAACCATATGGAGCAGAGGTCCATCAGTGGCTATTAGCCACAAGGTATGGATAGGAACTCTTGGTCTGGGGCAAGTGATTCTGTGTATTCTTGGTGCTTGGGGGGGGGCAACAGAGGGAGGGCTTCTAGTGTCCTGGCCCCACTGCTGGACCTCCTGATGGCACCTGGTATTTTTGGCCACTGTGTGGCAGAGTGCTGGACTGGATGGGCCAATGGCCTGATCCAACATTGGCTTCTCTTATGTTCTTAACACTCATTTGTAAAATACCCTACTTCACAGAGTAGTTGTAAGAGGGAGCATTGTTAAGTATGCTGCCAATTAAGTAAGCAGTACTTTGTTTTATAAACAAGTTGGTTTATAAATTCCACTCAGGGTTCCATTTGGGGCATGCTATAAAAGCTTGTGCTGAAATAAATCATCCAGTACTGTTTACGATACCACAGAATTCTTTTTGTTTTGCTCTAAAAGATTTTCACGCCCCTTACCTGGATAGCCCAGGCTAGCCTGATCTCATCAGATCTCAGAAGCTGAGCAGGGTCAGCCCTGGCCAGTGTTTGGATGGGAGCCTGCCAAGGAAGTCCAGGGTCACTACACAGAGGCAGACAATGGCAAATCACCTCTTTTCGTCGCTTGCCTTGAAAACCCTATGCCGGGATTGCCTTGATGGCAACACACACACACACACCAACTACCTGGAATTTTGAGCCATAAGTGGGAACGGATATTTACCATGCAAATCTTGGCCTTGATGTAATGATGGTCCTTGGTCCCCATCATCCTGAAATCCTGTAGAATTGTTATAGTTGACATGAGAACAGCAGAAAGGAGAAAACAAGGTGGCAGTCAAAGGAAAAAATTAATGTGACAATCAGAAGAAGTCAGATGAAGCTGCCTTCCCCTGAGTCAGTCCTTGGTCTGCCTTGTCTGCTCTGATTAAGAATAAGAAGAGGAGATTGGATTTATGCCCCGCCCTTCACTACCCAAAGGTGTCTCAGAGCGGCTTACAAACTCCTTTCCCTTCCCCTCCCCACAACAGACACCCTGTGAGGTGGGTGGGGCTGCGAGAGCTCTTGACAGAAACTGCTCTTTTTCAAGAACAGCTGTGCCAGAACTATGGCTTGCCCAAGGTCATCCAGCCAGGTGCAAGTGGAGGAGTGGGGGGAATCAAACTCGGTTCTCCCAGATTAGAGTCCGCGCACTCAACCACTACACCAAATTGGCTCTCTTAACAGTAGCTTTCTGTGGATAGCAGATTAGCACAGGGTTAGGGTTCTTTGATGGGGAGTTGGTCATTATATTATTACAGATTGGTACTACCCATATCTCCACTGCCTTCTGTGATTATAAATAAAGAACTTAAGCTAGATATAGTCAAAATGTGAGGAACTGTTAATACAGGAAAATTTTAAAAATAATTTAAAATATATACCGGATATTGATTCATTAATTTAAAATTAATCTTTAAAATAGGTGTGTGGGGGGGAGATCTCAGAAAAGTGGAGGTTCACATTTACAAAAGGTTCAACACTCACAAAAGGGTCAACACTCACAACGAATCACTGAGGGAAAATGCAATTATGATGGTTAACCTGTGGTGATTTTATTGTATAGATTACCTTTTTTATTTTATTCAACTTTTATCCCACCCTCCCCTGCATAGCAGGCTCAGTGCAGGTTACATCAAGTTTAATAAAATACAGTATATACAATTAATACAATTAAAACACTAATAAAATACCACCATGGCCTTCATCCGGTGCCCATTACAGTGGAAAAGTCTGTTCCCCCCCTCTAATTTTGTGTGTGTTGGTTTAGTCTCATGGGGTGCAGTCCCAGCTGGTTAATTCCTCTTTGTTAATCAGAATTATAGACTGGATGGTCTGCCTTGTCCTGGAACCTACTGCTTCTATTCATGTAGCTTCTTGCTAAAAACTGATGTTTTGAACACACCAGTCTCTGCTGTGTGAACCTAAGAGCCACAACCTGAGTGAGTCCCCTATTCCTGATTTGCAAGCCGAAGGAAACATCACATAACCAATGGTGCATGTCACGTAGTATACTGGTCAAGATTTATAATATACCTGGGAACTGTTGGCATAGTGGGATTTTAATGCAATTTTTTACTATCACTAATGGGAATATCTCTATGCAAGTAAATATGGGGAAATGATAGTATTGTGTATCTGGAACAGTACTGCAGTTAGAATTCCTTGCATTCCAGGACTGTTGTTACTAAACCATATGGCCAAGGTTCTGTGCAGTTTGCAAGAATTGGTTTTGTGCACTGTTGTGACTGCTTGCATTGTCGTTGCAAAACACTGGGAAAACCCAATTCCCCAACTAAAGGGAATTGGATTAATAAACTAAAAGATGTGTTTTGTATGGTAAGATTCACCACTTATTTAAAAATGAAAACAGTAAAGAACATCAGAGTTTAGTACTAGGTGGTTCAGAAGGTGGACATTTAAAGGAAAACAGAGGATCTGTTTTTGATTTTGGTGATGGTGTTATTGGACAAATGAGTAATATCATCACCTAAGGTTCTAAATAAAATGCTGTTTATTGGCCAGTTTGTATTACAGATTAATAGAGAAAAAATAATAGGGCTGGAGTTGGTCTGGCAGAGGAATATCTGCTAGTGGTATGTATACTAGTTCCCCTTTCATTTGTGATAAACCTGTACTATTTAAAAAATCTGCCTTATCTGGGGCAGCAGTGGGAAAAGTGTGTGTGTGTGTGTGTTTGTGTGTGCATTTCCTGACTACTTCAAACAAGTGCTCACTTTGACAGACAGACAATGTTCCCTCTAAGCTATGGAGTCTTGTGAGCAAAAGTTCTACTTTGTGAGCTACTGGCAATAAAGTTGTGAGCAAGCGATTTGTCGACTGCATAAATTAGGTTGTTCTGGAGCCATCCTTCCTGAGTTAAGACAAAAATCTCGGAGCTGGAGGCTAAAAAACTGTGAGCTAGCTCACACTAACTCAGCTTAGAGGGAACACTGCAGACAGATCTCATCTTAAATACCCCTGCTAGTTAGACTGTGATAATTGCTACTAACTAGGAATGTTCCTAACCTTCCAACTCAAAAAGAGGACATTTTCATCAGGTTTTTTAAAAAGAGCCCAAAAGAGGACATGTCCTCTAAAAAGAGGACATCTGGTATAACCCTGCTGTACACGGTTTGGGGTTGGAGCAGGCCGGCTGCCGGAGAATTCCGCCCTGCCCGCCATCAGAGCTACGTAATGCTCGATATTAAGCCACAGGCAATAGCATTGGCCTTTCAACCACCAGATGGCAGTATACAACCTGTCCTTCCCCAACCTACAGCCAGGGGCCCTGTAACAGGAAGGGACGTGGAAGGCTCGCTGAGATCAGCGGCTGGAGAAGTAGGACGGACGCCGCTCTGGGCAACCTTTCGTGTCCCCACAGCAACGTCTCAGCATTTGGGGTCAGGTCAAAATGAAATGGGCACTCCGTCATGTGTATTTTTTTGCTGACGTTTCCATTTGTTATCTGCGTCCGCAGCCGAAGCAGCTGTGGTCTCAAATGGAAGACCACTGTGGCCTGGGCAGAGCTTCTAAGTGTATTCAGTTTCTCTGCCACACAGAAATGCCCCTCCAAAATGTCCCCCCCCACACACGGGAAACAAGAACGGTACGCTTTCCCACAGTATAGTGGAAAGGTGTGGGGTTGTTTTTTTTTTTTTTTGGGGGGGGGGTCTTATAGCAAAAAAATTGTCAGAGGAAAAAGAGTGTAGAAGTCCACTCACATCCCATTCGGATTGCAAGCCTGATGGCTACTTTAAATCCTAATGCAGAGATAGCAATAAATAAATAAATAGATAAAAATAAGTGTTAAAGCATTTTTAAATTAAAGTTTAAATTAAAGGGGATTAGGGGGCTCGCCTTGCAATGGTTTGCCTCCTTTCTTCAAGGTCGGGGACAAAGGGTGGCGCTAGAACAGGAGTCCAGGAGGCACCCACTTGGGTGTGGTGTGCCTCAGGGGGCTGTGCTGTCCCCGATGTTATTTAACATCTACATGCACCCCCTTGCCCAGATGGCCCGGAGCTATGGGCTGGGATGTCACCAGTATGCTGATGACACCCAGCTCTATCTGATATTAGGCGGCCAGTCGGAGATGATCTGGATGGCGCTTTGCAGGCTGTGGCTGGGTGGCTCAGGCTGAGTCGGCTGAAGCTGAATCCAGCAAAGACGGAGGTCCTGTGCCTGGGTCAGGGTGGTTCGGGGTTGGGGATCCCACTCCCGACCTTGGGGGGGGGTCTCATTGGTCCCAGCGTTGAGGTTCAGCATTCGGGAGTGCTCCTGGATTCCTCCCTTACCATGGAGGCCCAGGTAGCCGCCACTGCCAAGTTGGCCTTCTATCATCTGAGGCTGATTAGGCAGTTGGTTCCCTTCCTTGACCGTGCTGACCTGGCTACAGTGATCCACGCGATGGTCACCTCGAGACTAGACTACTGTAACGCTCTCTACATGGGGCTGCATTTGTCGCTGATCCGGAAGCTGCAGCTAGTGCAGAATGCCGCGGCCAGGCTGTTGTTGGGTCTCCCTAGATGGGAGGACATCCAGCCTGTGCTGAGGACACTGCACTGGCTGCCAGTAGCATACTGAATCCACTTCAAAGTGCTGGTTCTTACCTTTAAAGCCCTATATGGCCGGGGTCCAAGATACCTACGGGACCGCCTTTCCCCGTATATACCCCAGAGAGCACTACGGTCTGGGTCTCAAAATCAGTTGACCCTCCCTGGGCGGAGGGAGGCCAGGCTAGCTGCTACTAGGGCGAGGGCCTTCTCAGTGGCGGCCCCTACCTGGTGGAACGAGCTCCTGGAGGAGATCAGGGCCCTGCGGGACCTTTCACAGTTCCGCAGGGCCTGCAAGACGGAGCTCTTCCGCCAGTCATATAACTAGGGGCCGCCGCCATCTTAGTGCACGGCCCGTAATGTTGACATCAGCAACTGCCTCAAGAATGAGCAGTATAACATTCAAACACTTATGTGGAATAACGTCGAAGCCCTTTATTTGAATATATCTCATTGGTTTATCTTATCTGCCGCCAGTACTTTGTAACATTTGTAATGCATTATTTTGTCGTGTTTTAATTCTGTACTATTTCTGTTTTTATCTTGTATTGTTGTATTGTTGTTGGGAGCCACCCTGAGCCTTCTTTGCAGGGAGGGTGGGGTATAAATTTGATTATATATAAATAAAATAAATAAAAGTTTAAAAGCAGTGTGAGAGCCAGCACTGTGTAGTAGATGGGGTGTGTCAGGTTCGAACTCGGCAGACTTGGGTTCAGTTCCTTGGTAAGCCATAGGTGACCTTGGCCAAGTCACTCTCTTTCAGTATAATTTACTTCACAGGGTTGTTGTGAAGATAACATGGAGGCGGGAATAACCATTCTCAGATTCTTGGAGGAAGGACAGGACTTAGAAGAAGAAGAGGAGGAGGAGGAGGAGGAGATTGGATTTATACCCCGCCCTTCACTACCCAAAGGAATCTCAGAGTGGCTTACAAACTCCTTTCCCTCCCCCTCCCCACAACAGACACCCTGTGAGGTAGGTGGGGTTGAGAGAGCTCTGATAGAAACTGCTCTTTTTCAAGGACAGCTCTTATCAGAACTATGGCCCAAGGTCATCCAGCAGTGCAAGTGGAGGAGTGGGGAACCAAACCCGGTTCTCCCAGATTAGAGTCCGTGCACTTAACCACTACACCAAACTGGCTCTCTAAAGTGATAAATATTGATGTTTGTTTGTTTGTTTATTATTATCTTGCAAACCAAAACAGAGCCCTGTCCTGGATAGTCCAGACTAGCCCAATCTCATCAGATCTCAGATGCTAAAAAAGGTCAGCTCTGGTTAGTATTGGGATGGGAGACCACCAGGGTCGCAGTGCAGAAGCAGGCAATGGCAACCCCCCTCTCTGAACCTCTCTTGCCTTGAAACCTCTATGGGGTAGCCCTAAGTCGGCTGCCGTTTGACAGCACTTTCCAGCACCACAAACCAAATGGAACTCAGGAAAGGTGGCACAGAAATGGCTAAACAGAAATAAACAGTTTGGCTCTTCATTACTGTACTAGTGAAACCTGGCTTCTCAGCGGAAATACTTCAGATAAATGAAGGAGGAGGAGGAGGAGATTGGATTTATCCCCCGCCCTTCACTCTGAGTCTCAGAGCGGCTTACAAACTCCTTCCCCTCCCCACAACAGACACCCTGTGAGGTAGGTGGGGCTGAGAGAGCTCTGACAGAAACTGCTCTTTCTCAAAAACAGCTCTGACAGAACTATGGCTTGCCCAAGGTCATCCAGCAGCTGTATGTGGAGGAGTGGGGAATCAAACCCGGTTCTCCCAGATTAGAGTCCACGCACTTAACCACTACACCGAACTGGCTCTCTGACTTTCAATCATGAGCCTTGGTTTGGGCTCACGTATGCGGTAGAACTCCATGGTAGCTCTCCTTTGCCCACATCAATTGACACATGGAGCGGAGGCCTTACCTTTGTTATCTTGCCCTCTGTGGTGCGGAAATACCCGGATTCCTGCATCAGCCCCAGAAAAGAAAAAAATAATTGGTGAAGACTTATCTGAAGACTCTGCATGCATCTCTAGGCTCAAACACACAAACAGGAATTATACAGGATCCCAGTGAAATAAAACAGGAGTCCAGTGGCACTTTAAAGATCCAGATGAATGTTGGACTAGGATCTGTGAGATAAATGCTGAGTGGGTGGCCTTGGGAAAGTCCACATGGTAGTACGGATAATATACGGATAAAATGGAGGACAGGAAAACAGTGTTGTAAACTGCTTTGGGTTCCCATTGGGGAGAAAACCCAGGTATAAATATCTAAATAAATTTACTGAAAGTGATGCAGTGCCTCTAGATCAAGTCTACGCATCTAAGTTTGCAGTTCAGCAAGTGGGAAGTGTACATACTAAGTCTCTCAGTTCTTGCCTGTACCCAGAATTGAACTTTATTTGTCTTAGGTGCCACTGGACTCAAACCTTGTTTCCACATCTATTTGTTAAGTTTTGTATTTGTATACTAATTTACTGCCATTCACAAATCTTTCTTACATCCAATCTTAGCTGTAATCACACAGTACATATGCATCTTGACTCTAAATGGTCCTTCCTGACAACAACAACAACAACCCCCCCCCCATTAAGTAATGGATGAGAAGGTTCTGTTCCAAGTGTATCTGTGGAAGTGTGTGTGCACACAAAAGCTTATACCATGTGAATAAAACCTTGTTGGATATAAAGGTGCCACTGGACTCAAACTTTGTTCTCCAGGGAAGGCTGTATCAGGAAGCATGTCAGGAAGTGTGGGCAAAGAATCAAGAGGGAGGGAGAAAGAAGGAACCATTTCCTTTGCCCATGAGAGCTTATTTTTTCTTTCCCTTCCATCCTTTTAAGGAAGTGTCTGGCCAGGCCAACTGAAAGTACCGCTACTTCACACGCAGAGCAGAACCACTGACTGACCCACTGAAGTTCAGATTTGCATGGACTCCTAGAAGACATGCAAAATCACGGAGATGAAAAAACACTACTCTCGTGAACCCAGTACAATATACAATACCAATATAGTAACTCCATTACTGTTAATATAAGAAAAACGTCATGGCTTAAAGATTTAAACAAAACAGGAACCCACCTTTGTTGAAGGAACTTTCTTTTCCTGTCTGGGATGTAGTTTGTCTAGGGTGTATTTCTACAGTGATATGATTTCCTGTAGAGGACAACAACAAAATGAATGAAGTAAGCAGAACTGATAGAGAAAACGAAGTATCAAAATAATATAAATGTGACAAAAAGGCAGAAAATATCAGATCTGTTATGTCTTTTTCTTCTGGGATCAAGGACAGGGGGAGGACTTTCTGCCACTTTTCTGTTTCCATGACAGAGCTGCCTAGAGGGACAATTTTTATTAGGGAAACCACAAGAGGGGAAAAGTTACCTCCTCCTGCCAACCTGGACCTGAGGCTCTGATCCAAGTTCCCCCTTCCCCCTACAATTGATTCTGATATTAAAGTCAGATGATATTCTGATCACATATCCCTCGTGCAGCATGTCCTTTGACCCTTTCTTACAAACAATGACAGATCAAAGT